AAAACAGACTATTAATGAAGATCATTTACTTACTTTTTTAAACAGATGGTCAAACCAAAAACACCTTCCTACTGAAATCATTCCACAGGACAGCAAGTTTCATGAACATTCACAACAGACAATTTAGATAAACTCTAACTTGCTATACCTCCCCTTGTACACAGTGGTAGTAAATTGCAGACTGCATTGCACAAAGTCCAGTTTTATATTGTTTGACATTTTCTGCTGCAACCACAAGACACTGTCAATTGAACGAAATTTCAGGAGCCAAAGACTCAGAATGGCATTTACTGTGAAATGTCCCATTTTTAGTTTTAACTCTTTGAATAGCCAGATTTGTCATTTTGTACGTTAGGTGGATAAATGTGAACAGTCTATTACCTGCATCAAAGAGCTAGACAAAACTATTTAGAGCCAACTCTCAACAACTAAACTCCACAAGTCTTAAATTACAAAGCATCAACTGTTGACATTTGAATTTCATTGGAAAAATGCTATTTCATCAATGATGATTTTAACATAATCTGATACCACAGTTAAGTAACTGCAATACATTTTCATCACTGCACCACCAACAAAAACCACAAAATTTGTTCAAGTGAATTTCAAGATGGTTTTCACGCTATAGTACGTCACAGTATACAAAATGTAGTTAACCAACCATTCATAATAATAAACTCCTGCATCCAGCTTTTCATCCTTATATTAACTTTTATCCAGTATTTGTTAATAGCACCTAACATGGTAGGCTAATGTATCTCTGCCTTAATGGCAATTTTATAGAATCTGTCTCCATCAGTTGACACTGTACTGCTGAGTCATTAGAAAGTATGACATCTTTTTCTATGCAAAAATGCATCATGACTTTTATGATGACCCAACAGGAAGGCAAAACAAACAAACACACAAAAAAACAACCAGGGGCCAGCAAGTGGCATAGTGAGGTGCTGGACTCTCATATGGCCAACCACAGTTTGAGTCCCAGACCTGGCAGCTTGAAACTCATGGCAGGCGTGTGTGTGCGTGCGTGTGTGTGTGTGTGTGTGTGTGTGTGTCCAGAATCCCAAAAGGAAAATGGAGAAGAGATTGCAGTGTGTTCATTGTTCCCAGGAGTGATTTCTCACTTTCTCTCTGTCTCTTTGATAAGTGCATGTGCCCTATAGCAAAAATATCTCTCTTAAGAAAAAACCCTATTATCATAAAGATAGTCTCACTCTCACCAGCAGACACATCTTTCCTTCACCTCTTTGGGAGCAGAGCAGCTTGAATTAACATCTAATAAAAGTGTTTAGGTACAAGTACACAATAACACAATAAAAACATGCCTAATTTACAGTAACCAACACAGTAACCAAACAAACTCAGGTTTGTTTGTTTGTTTTGTATATACCAATAATTAACAATATTACACCAAAAAGCCATTTTAATTATACCCATGTGTATGTTACTCTTTCTGTAAAAGTAAATTCTGATCTTTCATGAATGTTTAGCGTAATATTCTAAAATCTGAATAGAGAAAACTGAAAAAAACTGAGTGGCTAATTATCTTGAAAGGTTAATTTCCATATTATGGTGCAAAACAGTATTTATGGCATCAATTCTCACCTTCCCCTATACTTTCTTCGGTGCAAAGAAAAGGATGGCAGCTTTCACTTTATATCAGCCCCATCCCTCCCAGGTACCTTGTAAGATATTCCTCTTTACTTCCCTCTGCAGCAACTCTGCTAGCAGGGCTCTTTTACTCAATTTCAGACTCCCATTCTGTAACTCTTCACTTAATTTTCAACTCAAATATTAGAGCCCCTTACAGGTTCTGATGAAGCACGGGCCATTTTCTACCACTGAGGACAGAAACAGGAGGGTAGAGAAGTTGTGCTCTCCTTGATATTTACCCAGAGTTGGCTAATAAGAAATCGAACTGGGGGCCTGATTGTGGCACAGTAGTAATGTAATGCTCTGTGAGGCTAACCCACTTGGGAAGGTTCCATGTTTGTGTCCAGAGACCTCACTGACTCAACACACTGGTATTTACCCAAGCTGGCTAAAGCTTGGGGTGGATGGAGGTTCGGAGACTTTGTTGGGGGTGGCTCTCTCTCTCAATCATGAAAGAAACTTAAAGAAAAGGAAAGGGATGAATCTTAACTGGAGACTATCTTTCTACACAATTCAAAGCACCTTACACAGGGATAAACTGCTAAATAAACTTGAAGGTCTCGCTTTTAAATATAAGACCCAGAAGCCCAGGCTCCAGCAAAAACATCAGAAACAAAGATCCAAGTCTGACCTTGACAAGCTGAGCACATTGTCTCGACTGAGGACCTGCAAACAATAAGCAAGACAAGAATGACATAAAGGGGAAAAGGAGTAAGAGTTGGTTTCCACACTCACCAACAGTATCTTCCTGCTCTTGTCAATGCCAAGCGCTTAGCTGCATAGTCGGCACCATTTTGTATATTCAGTGATCAATTTTATGTACTCTAAAAGGACCTGTCATCTAAGTGATCTTCAAAAGGTTTATATTTTTGCTCATGAGAGTACCCCAAAATAATTCCACTTTAGCAAATGCTTTACCTTTATACTATCTATTTAAATAGAAAAAGACCATTCTTACATCTCATCCAAAGGCTTATATAGTGTTTTGTTGATAGGTTTTGTAATCAATTTTGCTTTAAAGAGAACGTCTAAGTGAATGCATATTTAGAATATTCTCTGGTTCTTTAGCATTAACAACCATACTATTTAGTAATATTTTGCTCCAATATTTATCTATAATGGCAGTATCTAAAGACCTATATATTGTGGTTGTCAGAAACATCATGACACATTTTTGCACAGAAAAAAGACATCATGACTTTAGCAACAACCCAATATTATCAAGTATTTTGGTTAAAAGTTAAGTTTCTTGTATATTTTTTGCCTTTGGCAATGGAGAGAAAATGTTGCTTTTTAAACTAAAACCCAACTAAACCCTCAGGACTATACTCCACAGAGTTTGAAATCTCTTAACTGATTATAGGGATGAGATTCAAACTTGAAGGTCCAAAGAGTCTTCTGTTGCTTTCTGATTGTACATATAAGTCAGGCTTTGGATAAAATGCACAGCGAGTGAAGGGGCCTAGGACGCAAGGACATAGGGCAGCCTCCATTATGGCCGTCCTCACCTACCTACTTTGCCTCCCTGGCTATCTGCAAAAAGCACATGTGCAAATTCCAACAAAGAACGCAGTGTTGCAGAATGAGTGGCCTTTGCAGTTGGGGAAACCCACATTTATTGGGTTGTCAGGAAAGTCATGATGCATTTTTACATAGAAAAATATGCCATGGGACCAGCAGTTAGTGTAATGGCTATGTTGCTGGACTCTCGTGTAGTCAACCGTGGTTTGAGTCCGTACCTGGTGGCTTAAAAACATGCCAGGCGCATGTGCGTGCATGCCCAAGATCCCAAGAGGAGAATGGAGGAGAAGGGATTGTGGCATGGCCATCCCCCCATGACTTTCCAGATGACCTAATAAGTGCCAGCTTCATCACAATGTGATTTTTTGTGTTTGCTAAGAAAAGCACTGATTTTGGGAACCAGCAGTTAGCTAATGGCTATGTCGCTGGACTCCCACGTAGTCGACTGCGGTTCGTGTCCCGGACCCGGTGGCTTAAAACTCACGCCAGGCGCGTGTACGTGCATGCCCAAGATCCCGAGAGGAGAATGGAGAAGGGATTGCGGCGTGACCATCCCCCCTGGGGGGTGATTTCTCGCTTTCTGTCTCTATGTCTCTCTCTGTCTGGCGAGCGCACGCGCCCTACAGTGAAAATCTCTAAAAAAAAAAAAAAAAAAGCACTGATTTTATATGGAGGGCTTTGTTCCTTACTTATGAAACAATGGCAGTCCTTTCTCTGTCACAGATTTATTCTGAATATTAAATTAGATAATATACCCAAAGTGTCTAGTATACTAGCTCATTGGAAAAGTTATGCTTATTCAGAGCTAGGCAGGTACAGACTTTGGTATAGACTTGGAGGCAAGACCTCCTAGAAAGGAGCAAGTACTTTCATCCAACCCCTCCCTCCAAGTCTAGCCTAGCCTCTCCAGCAAAGGGCTGTAGTGAGATTGCCAAAAATCCTTGCAAACATAAATGCCAGCAGCTGTCATTGGCATAAGATGTAAGAATGTGAACTCTGTGGATACTAATAGCCATCAAAGTATCAACTAGGTCACCCAGTTGGGAACTTTTTACATGGGCCGGGAGAAGTGTCCCAATGCCTCTAGAAATTCACATGTTAAATAGTAATAATCTTATAGAAATATTGCACTCTAAGTTATATATGACAAAAAGTATAAAATAGATACAAAAGCATTTACTTTCTAGATGTTATCTTCAGAACTGGCCAAAAATAAAATCCTCCTCCTAACACTTACTTAGAAACCACACAACAAAATTAAAAGAACTCTAGTATTGGACCAGCAGATGATGTAATGGTTACGTTGCTGGACTCCCTCATAATTGACTGCATTTGAATCCTGGACCAGGAGGCCTAAAACTCATGTAAGTCAAGTGTGTGTGTGTGTGCGTGCGTGTGCGTGTGTGCCCAAAATCCTAAGAGGAGAACAGAGACGAGACTGTGGTGTGGCCATACCTCTGTGGCATGATTTTTCACTCTCTCTCTCTCTAACAAAAGCATGTGCCCTATAGCAAAAATCTCTCTTAAAAAAAGGGAACTCTAATAGTAGTTTTAATTTTAAAGAAAATCAAATAATAATTTTTTCAAAAGTTCTGTATCTTTCTTGGCTCCTTCAAATGGAATCTGAACAGTAACTCAGTTCGAACCTTGGCTTCATTCACAGCTAAGTGACACTGACTATACTTCTGCAGTTATGAAGTAGAAATAATACTGCCTAGATCAAGGTTGTCGTGAGAATCAGTATTACCTGGAATCTGTATAAAGTGCTCAGCACAGTTTCTGGCACATTAGCATAACCATTTCCCCCAAAAAAGGTGCTGGAAGCATTAATGAAAACATGTTATGTTTACAGGATTTTTTTCATGTGGGTTTGCTTATGAGTAATGAGGTGCATGTTTATCTTGAAGCTCTTCCCACATACAGTACATCTGAAAGGCTCCTCTCTTGTATGGCTCTTCTGGTGGAATGCAAGTTCTGACTCCACAGTGAAACATTTTGCACACATACTGCATGTATGGTGTTTCTCCTCCATGTGAAGGTTCTGATGGGAAATGAGCTCAGAAAAACAAGGAAAAGTCATCTCACACTCAGGACACCGTAAGGGTTTGAATTTTGAGAATGAGAAGAAATCATCATCATCGCTGCAGCATTTGGAGTCTTCCTTGTGATCTTTTTCCAGTGGGGAAGGGTACGAGGGCTGCCCAAAGCCTGTTCCACCTGGGGAGTACTGGTACTGGGTGGCTGAAGTATGTGCTTGTTCATGCAAAGCAAGGTTTGTTTTCTGACCAAAATAGTTACCACGGTTGGCAGATTCACAGACTTTTATGGTAGTGTGACTTTTCTGATGCTGGGCCAGCCCTGGGAGCCATATAAAACCTCTCCCACATATGCTACATGTGTAGGGTTTCTCCTTTATGTGACTATTCATGTGCCGTGACAGATGTGAGTGCTGACGGAAGCTGGTACCACAGTCGTCACACTTATACGGCTTCTTACCAGTATGGATTCTCCTGTGTGTCCTCAGATTGGCTCTATGCTTGAAGATCTTCCCACACTCACTGCATTTATATTTCTTCTCTTCTGAGTGAGTTTTCTGATGTAAAACCAGGTATGAATTATCACTGAAGCTTTGGTCACACTCAGGACACTTATACATATTTTTGGTTTCTTCCCAGGGAAATACAAAGATTTCTTAAAGTGTGCTAGTTCTTAAACACTGAGATAGTTCTACTAATGGGGTATGGTTTTCAATGGTAACTAAAAGGCTTATGAACCTTTTCTTGAAAGTAGAAGTTCCACCTGATACTGTCCTTTCAGGGTTTCCAACTTCATCCTCAGAGGATTTTTCTGGGTAATGGACAAGAGGTGCAGCAATGGAGTACTTTTCTAGAGCAAGCTCTTCAGGTTCCATAGGCTCTAAACTTAACTGCTGATTCATCTCAGTGCTGCCCTCCCCTCCTGTTGATAAAAACAAAACAAAGCAAAAGATAGATAGCATCTTCAAGTGATGTTGGGAAAGAACAAGCTAAAATAGTTATGTAGCGGATGAGCAAATCATAGATGTGTTTTACTATAACACGGACACTGATAAATACACATAATCAGGAGCCAAAAGACTCTCCCGGCTTACCAGGTGAACCTGCAAGGGGGAGGAGCAACAGAAAATAGCTAGGACTAAGTCAGGTTTGAATAGAGTGGGTGCTAAGGACAATCTTGATAGACACTGTCTAGAGGTAGAGTTATCTTGTTACTCTCAAGACCTTTCATCACTTAAGCTATCTCAAGTGACAGACGAATAATCACAACTGGAAAAGAGATTCATATTTATCCAGAAAGAAGAGGGCTTGGGCTGGACAGTGGTGCAGCAGTAAAACGCAACACTCTACAAGGCTGATCCACATGGGAAGGTTCCAAGTTCACATTCAGAGACCTCCAGGAGTGTGTAAGGCACACTTGTGCTGATGATCTGAGGCTGGCTGAGGCTGGGGGTGGACTCTGGTATTAGGGTCTTGTTGAAGATGCTGTCTCTCTCGCCCAAAAGAAAAATAAATTAAAAATAACTCTGAGGGGAAGAAAAGAGAGTAATTAATTAATTAATTCATTCATTCATTTATTCTAACTTGACCAAAGAGAGAGACACAGAGAAAGAGAAAAAGAAAGAGGGAAAGTGAGAAAGCAAGCCACCAGGTCCAGGACTCAAACTACGGTCAGTCATGTGGGAATATGCAGCAACTTAATCACCTGCCGGTCCCAGAGAGTAAATATTTTTCTACTTTAGTAGAGAAACACACAAGTTACCAGAAATAATTTTATCACCACCAGGAGAGGTCTCCAAAACGTTTTTACCTCGCACAAAATAAAGACCAAGGTAAAATTTCTGTGTGTACTGCAGGTAAATAATGGGCAGTCTTACTACAAGGATGACTGAAAACTTCCCTTCCCCCCAAAAAATCCTTTTCAATATTTTGGCAAATATGCTTCACTTTTAAAGCCAATATATCTGTACAAAAGAGGTCTTTCATTCCAAAGAAACAAAGTTCTAAGATTTTCCCAAATCATTGAAAAAGGGCTCAGGACATCTACATGGGCTCCCCTTAGGACTATTAATGAATCCTAATATTTATGTGAAAATTACCCAAGGACATGGAAAGATCCACTAAAAAGGAATATACAGAACAACACCTAGAGTTCACACAGTAGTTCATATTCCCAACAAAGTGGAAAGATCCTCCAAAACAGAGGACTAGAAGCAGTGTCTTCAGACAAACCCTGCCTAAACAGTAGACCAAAATCAGCCCTAGACTGAAGGTTGATCTAACTCACCCTAACAAGGTGAAAAAGGCAAACCTTGAAAGGATCAAACTGACACCACGTACCTTAAGGGTATTGCACAGTAAACTTCAAAAATAGTTTTAAAAATACAAAAAAAAAAAAAATCTAGCACTCAACAACATAAAAATTCCCAATGTCCAACTATCCATTCAAAAATTACCAGGCATGAAAAAGGCGGGAAAATATGACCCATAACTAGGAGAAAAATCAATCAATAGAAACAGACCCAGAAATGACATAAATCATGAAACAAGTAGGGAAAAAATGTTTAAACAGCTATTATAAATATATTCCATATGTTCAAGAAGTATAAGAAAATTAACATGATGGAGAAGTTGAAGACATAAAATATGAATTAGGGAATGGTAGATACTCAACCCTAGTCAACTATAAATCTACTCAAGCATATAAGACTTCTGCATATCTTGGGCTGGACAGTGGTGCAGCAGTAAAATGCAACACTCTACAAGGCTGATCCACATGGGAAGGTTCCAAGTTCACATTCAGAGACCTCCAGGAGTGTGTAAGGCACACTTGTGCTGATGATCTGAGGCTGGCTGAGGCTGGGGGTGGACTCTGGTATTAGGGTCTTGTTGAAGATGCTGTCTCTCTCGCCCAAAAGAAAAATAAATTAAAAATAACTCTGAGGGGAAGAAAAGAGAGTAATTAATTAATTAATTCATTCATTCATTTATTCTAACTTGACCAAAGAGAGAGACACAGAGAAAGAGAAAAAGAAAGAGGGAAAGTGAGAAAGCAAGCCACCAGGTCCAGGACTCAAACTACGGTCAGTCATGTGGGAATATGCAGCAACTTAATCACCTGCCGGTCCCAGAGAGTAAATATTTTTCTACTTTAGTAGAGAAACACACAAGTTACCAGAAATAATTTTATCACCACCAGGAGAGGTCTCCAAAACGTTTTTACCTCGCACAAAATAAAGACCAAGGTAAAATTTCTGTGTGTACTGCAGGTAAATAATGGGCAGTCTTACTACAAGGATGACTGAAAACTTCCCTTCCCCCCAAAAAATCCTTTTCAATATTTTGGCAAATATGCTTCACTTTTAAAGCCAATATATCTGTACAAAAGAGGTCTTTCATTCCAAAGAAACAAAGTTCTAAGATTTTCCCAAATCATTGAAAAAGGGCTCAGGACATCTACATGGGCTCCCCTTAGGACTATTAATGAATCCTAATATTTATGTGAAAATTACCCAAGGACATGGAAAGATCCACTAAAAAGGAATATACAGAACAACACCTAGAGTTCACACAGTAGTTCATATTCCCAACAAAGTGGAAAGATCCTCCAAAACAGAGGACTAGAAGCAGTGTCTTCAGACAAACCCTGCCTAAACAGTAGACCAAAATCAGCCCTAGACTGAAGGTTGATCTAACTCACCCTAACAAGGTGAAAAAGGCAAACCTTGAAAGGATCAAACTGACACCACGTACCTTAAGGGTATTGCACAGTAAACTTCAAAAATAGTTTTAAAAATACAAAAAAAAAAAAAAATCTAGCACTCAACAACATAAAAATTCCCAATGTCCAACTATCCATTCAAAAATTACCAGGCATGAAAAAGGCGGGAAAATATGACCCATAACTAGGAGAAAAATCAATCAATAGAAACAGACCCAGAAATGACATAAATCATGAAACAAGTAGGGAAAAAATGTTTAAACAGCTATTATAAATATATTCCATATGTTCAAGAAGTATAAGAAAATTAACATGATGGAGAAGTTGAAGACATAAAATATGAATTAGGGAATGGTAGATACTCAACCCTAGTCAACTATAAATCTACTCAAGCATATAAGACTTCTGCATATAGTTCCCCTTAGGTGAGAAAGGCACAGCACCCCCTTAAGAGTAAACAAATTTCCAATTTTTTAGCAAATCACAGAAACCTACACTAATGAGGTATCCCAAGTAAAACTGTAAACTGACTGTAGCAAATCATGAAGATTACCTGCTAATGCCACATCTCCTGTAAAAGCACAGTCACTGTGCTAGACTGCATTTCTGTCTTTAAGAAATCATCTAATTGGGGCCAGGAAATAGTCTACTGGTTACATCACTGGACTCACACATGGCCCACTGAGGTTCAAGTCCCAGACCCAGAGGCTTGAAACACACCAGACACGTTTGCTGCATGCCCAAGATCCTGGGAGGAGAATGCAGGATAAGGGATTGTGGTATGACCATCCCTCCTGGGGGGAGATTTCTCACTTTCTCCTTCACTGTCTCTGTTTCTCTCTCTCTCCCCCCAAAGTGAGCACATATGCCCTAAGACAAAAACCTCTAAAAAAAGAAGAGGGGAAGAAAAAAAAAAAAAAAGAGGTCATCTCATATGGTGAAACTTGCTCTTATTATAGCCACATAAATTGTTCCTGGACAGGTCTCACTCCACCATACCAACATTTAGACAAGGCACAAAATCCTCATCCTAGATAAATGGAATTTCAAATATGCAGGAAAAACAATCACCTTACCCATCAAGGCCACATCCTCCAAACACTCCTCTGTTGCATCTCTCCTGACACAGCTTTGGGCAGGCAGGATACTCACACACTCCTCTTGAGAAAAATACACAGCCAGATCCTCAAACAGCATTGGTTCCTGAAAAGTAAGAGGCCATCTCAGTACAAAAGATTGGGAATGCAGTTGCTCATTCAGTCTAGAAAGGCTTAGAAGAACCAGAACATCAGATGCAAGGGAGAACAGGGCTTCGCCTAAGAGGTTCTTGAGCACAGAGATGGAGTACACACAGGTTCTAAGGGATGAAATGGGAGTTGGGAAGAAGAGAGTAAACACTAACATAAGTTTGACACAGAGGTATAAGGATCAAGGCAGTAGTACACTGGGAAATGATGTAATCTCATCTGGAAAAGATGAGAAAATAACTTTTGAAGAAAGAAACGATGAAATACTAGTGTTCTAAAAGCGAAGACTGGAGCAACCTAGGAAAAATCGTGAAAGAGAAGTTCCAGAGCTCTCCCAATATTCTTCCCTTTGCTATCCCCTCTCTTTCTTCTCCATGACATTAAATTGCTCAACTCACACCAACATTTCATCCAGGCCTACTCCACCTTCCCTAAGTTTACTGGTCCTTTAAGTCATTAGAACTTTGGTGTGGGTAAAAGCCACCTGGGTTTTATTTTTATTTTTATTATTATTATTATTATTACACAACAAGTGTGGCATGAAGCCTTGAAATTTGCAGTTTTGAGAAGCATTTCCCCAAAACGCTTTGTGAAACTGCTAGATTCCTCCAAAGGGCTCTTCACAGCTGTTGATTCTGAAAGGAGGAAGTTGGTACACGGCTTCCCCAGGTCTAGGACCAAAGGCAGTATGCCCGAAGGTCTGTATGAGGATCAGGTGCACTCCCACCTCCACAGGACAGGTGTGCCGAACCCTCCTCCAAAGGGAAGAGTCAGGCAGAGGCCAGAAAAGAGCGACAGCACTTGGACAGAAGGAAGTTACCTCACCTGGGCCTCTGTGGTCAGGAAGTTGGACGCCATCTGTGGGAGTGGTGGGTGCCTTCTTCCTGTCACCGCAGGGACTTCTGGACGAGGCTGTGATGGGAGATAAGTCTTAAACTGGACCAATTCAGTTGCAAAGCTCCTCCTCACACCCTGGCCTGGGATTCCCCGGCAGGCGTTTGGAGACCCTGAGCCGACTGCCCCTCTCCCCAGCCCAGCCTGGAAGGGACCCACTTGCCTTTCTGGGACTGATGAAAGCCTTGCGCTACCCGGGCCTAGGTACAGACGGCGCCCCCGGCCCGCGACACCACCCCCGAGGCAACACTCCCATGCTCCCATCCCGACCGCGGCAGGCCTTGGGAAAAAGCTGCCGGAAGCGGCCCGCCCCCGCCTATCCGCCGTTCTGCCCTCTGATTGGTCAGCGTGCGCCGAGGGGCCAGTCCTCCTTCTGTGTTGACCAATCGAGCGCCTTCACTGAGGGCGGAGAGACAGCATTTCCGGTTCCGCCGACGGGGTCTCCCCGCTGAGCTCTGGGTCCGTTGGCCAGCTGGAGTGGAGCGATTTGGGGATCCTCGAGGGACGTAATGTTTACGAGAAGAAGAGAAGCAAGAAGACAGCGAGACGCTGCAACTCGAAAGAGAGTCGGTAACGAGACGTGGGTGGGAGGGCGGCCGGGCCGAGGTGGACGCGAGGCCAGGGATCCCGAGCCTAGCCGTGGCGTGGGCAGCCCTGTCTTAGGCGAGTCGTGGGCCGTGGATGTAGAGGGCCAGATTCACTGCGGTGTGGGCTGTCAGCTAGTCCACAGCGAGGCGTTCGACGGCCATTGTTCATTGTACCCGCGTGGCCGCAGCTGCTTCTAGCGGCGTCGGCCCGGAGCCATAGCAGGCCACAGGTGGGATGTGGGGGTTCACCTCCTGGTGCCGCACTTGCGGCCTGCCCCAGTGGCAGCCATTTCCCGTTACTGACACTGGGACAGGGGGATTGGAATTAGAAAATTGATCTAAGGAGCTCTGCCACTAATTTGTGGGGTGATCATGAACAGCTTACAGCTTTGCTTTTCTCAGCTTCAAAGAGCTCCCAGAATGCCTTTTTGGCTAACTTGGAGGGTGATTTGAAAGATTATAAGATAATGTAAGTGAAAGAAATTCAGTTTACAGAAGTGTTTGGGAAATGAAAAAGCCAAGAACAGGAGGTACTCTGACAGAAAATCTGAGTCTGATTTATTATTCAGGCATGCGTCTCTACCTAAAAGGCTAGTCAGTGATGGTCATGTGGTTACTAAAGCAATATTGCGGGAATCGACAACCTACATACTGGGACTTGGTGACATAACAGGATAGTTTCTGCTGTGAGTAGTAGAAACCCAGTGAAATAATGTTTCTAGACAGGGCATTACAGGTTCACTAACTCAGAGGCTCAGTGACATGGTCAAGGTCTGAATACTTCCATTCTCCTCTGCCATCCCTAGCACGTTGGTAGAAGTGACAGTGGAATCCAGATAGTAGGCGCAGACATGTATTGCTGTGTACTCAGCGTAAAGCAGTCATTGTCCAGAGTAAGAGATACTCATAATTGGCTCTAGTTGATCCTGCTTTACTTCTGGGGGTGGAAGAAGCACCCAGCCTTCCCTGACCACTTACCTGCACAAAATCAAGTCTCTGTTGGAAAAGAAAAAGGCAAGTGGAATATATTTGATCGGTAACTCCCATGGTGGTATCTGTTTACAGCTCATTAAGAGTTAAGTCTGTGGGAACTGGCAGGTGGCATGGTGGTTGAGGTACTGGACTCCCACATGGCTGACTATGGTTCATGTACCAGACCTGGCAGTTTGCTTTTTGGTAGCTGGAAGAATTATAAGAATAAAACTCCCTGTAGGCTACACCAATTCAAGTGTATATGCTGAAGAGTTAACAGACTGGCATATTCAGGCCTAAACTAAAGCCATATTCATTGCAAAGTCACCCTGCTGTTCCCATAATCATTCCTCCCTTTTGTTTTGCGCTCATATTTAACACTTCTTATTTCAAGGTCTTTTCATTTGTGCCTGGGTTGTCCAGATTGATATTTGTGGCTTTTTCATCAAAAACAAAAAGCTCTTCTGGTTCTTTTTTTTTTAAGGATTTTTTTTTAATTTTATTATTTTTAGAGACTTTTGCTATAGGGCACGTGTGCTCGCCTGACAGAGAGAGACAGAGAGACAGAAAGCAAGAAATCACCCCCCATGGGGGATGGTCACGCTGCAATCCCTTCTCCTCCATTGTCCTCTCGGGATCTTGGGCACGCATACACACGCGCCCGGTGTGAGTTTAAGCCACTGGGTCCGGGACACGAACCGCGGTCGGCTACGTGGGAGTCCAGCGACATAGCCATTATGCTAACTGCTGGTCACTATTTTTTAATTTCCTATAGAGCGTGTGCACTCACCAGAGAGAGACAGAGGGAAAGTGAGAAAGCAAGCCATCAGGTTCTCAAACTGTGTTGGCCGTGTGGGAGTCCAGCACCTTAACCATCCCACCACCTGCTGACTCCTCTTGGGCTCTTAGGACATGAGTTCTTAAAGTTACAAAGAAATAAACATAGTGTCAAAAGAAATGAAGCTTGTGTTATAAATTCAATGGCTAATCAGAGTGTTAGCACTGAAGTAGAAGAGAAATCTTTCCTAGACCTTCTTGGTGCTATCAACACTAGACAAGTAGACCAAGAAAGCAGCAGCTTAAGAGCTTGATTTTTCTTAAAGAGATGAAATACAGTCTAAGATAGACCAAAATTGAAAGAAATGAATTAAATACCTAATTAAATTTTTGTTAAAAATCGAGTTGCCTGACTGTATATCTGTTATGTAATCAAAAGACTTCAAACATTTTTTTCTTTTTTCATGACAGAGTTAGTGTGTACCCATATGAGAGGAGAGGGGAGCACCTCCATAGGATCTGGTCATGCTGCAGTCCCCTTCCTCTAGTCCTCTAACCCATTAGATGTTGGGTACTCACATGTGTGTCCGTGTTCCAGGCTGACCAGATACTGGGTGCAAATTGTGTTTCTGATGTGGTATATTACCACTGTGCCACGGAGCCAGACCTCAAGTGACATGTTTTTTTTGTTTTTTTTTTTTGAAGGTTTTTGCTGTAGGGTGCATGCGCTCGCCAGACAGACAGAGAGAAACATAGAGACAGAAAGCGAGAAATCACCCCCCAGGGGGGATGGCCACGCTGCAATCCCTTCTCCTCCATCCTTCTCTCAGGATCTTGGGCACGCACGCACATGCACCCGGTGTAGGTTTTAAGTCACCGGGTCCAGGACGCGAACCGCGGTCGACTACGTGGGAGTCCAGCGACATAGCTGTTAGGCTAACTGCTGGTCCCAGAGTTTATTCTTAATTAAGACATGTATAAGACTCTTCCAATCACTCTATAAGCAAGTAAATAAGCATTTAGTTTAAGCATCGCCCTCTTATGAACCCGATTAATAAGCAAGCCTCAGGTTCATGGACAATGCTAGTGGAGAACCACACCCTCTCAGTGTACTCTGCCCCACTGGGACCAGGCGACCTCCTTCTGCCACCTGTCTTGGTTCTAACTACAGGAAATAGTATCGTTCTTGGTGATCTATTTTGTACACTTGCATTATTTTCCATCAAAGGAGAATTTCTTCCAGAGCACAGTATTTGGCCCCTGGTTTTTCTGTTTTGATTCATGCAGATACCTTCAGAACCTTCAGTTAGAATAGTCCACTCCACCTCCTGTCAGTCTTGTGGAGCTTTCCAGCTCTCCTGGGAGTTCTCGCAGGTGGTCAGAGTCCTTTCTGCCAGCAGATGCTGTCTGCAGGGCTTGCCATGAAGTGGTTTGTTTCTGATTTGTTTCTAGGCACTTGAGAAAAGTCTTTTTAAAAATATTTTAGCCTCTAGAGAGGCTGCTTTGGGAAACTCATGGCTTTCCTTCAGGGTGAGTCAGGAAAATTGTGATCCAAAGGAACCCATTATGGCTTTTTATTTCTTTTGAGAGATGAAGAGAAAGAACCCCCAACAGGCTCTTTACACCACAGCCCACTCTGAGCCTCAGCCAGCTCCTATCCATGCACACAGCCATGCCCAGCATAATCAGGGAGTCTTCAAGTAAGAGCCTGGGGCCTCCTCACGCGGGGCTGCTTTGGATCGCATCTTACCACTGTGCCACTGTCTAGCCCCCCATCATGGCTTTTTGTGTTTTTAATTGCTAGAGGGCATGTGCACTTGTCAGAGAAAGTACCTCCCAGTGGAATGTGGTCACACTGCAGTCCTTTCTCTCCATTTCTTTATGCTATCAGGATTTGGTGCATGCACATGTGCCTGGTGCGTTTTTCAAGCTGCCAGTGCCAGGATTCTCACCACGGTTGGCCATGTGGGATCTGGATCCCATTGCATGACGCTTAACTTGCACTATATAGCTGCCTCACCCCCATCGTGGCTTTTAATGATGAACCAGTTCATCCATTTGTCTCTTGATTTTCATTCTTCACGGTGGGCACGCAAGGCTGCTGCTGCAGAGAGGAGTTTCCTGCATGCTCTGAAGGCCTCGGGTGGGTGTTTCACCATCGGTAAGATGAGCACAACAACGCCTACCTTTCTGGGTGGTTGGGAAGTAAATGCGAGCATGTGGGAAGGACTTGCGTCTAGCACACAGCAGACACTTAGCAAATGTGTGCTCACTCTCTCTGTCCTAGATGATGTGTAGTCATTTGTACAACAACTACATCTTTTTTTTTTTTTTTTTGGAGAGATTTTCACTGTAGGGCGCGTGCGCTCGCCAGACAGACAGAGAGAGACATAGAGACAGAAAGCGAGAAATCACCCCCCAGGGGGGATGGTCACGCCGCAATCCCTTCTCCTCCATTCTCCTCTCGGGATCTTGGGCACGCACGCACACGCGCCCGGCGTGAGTTTTAAGCCACCGGGTCCGGGACACGAACCGCGGTCGACTACGTGGGAGTCCAGCGACATAGCCATTACGCTAACTGCTGGTTCCCACAACAACTACATCTTGAAATCTTTATCAAACTGTTGTATAGTAACATGCCTCCTTAAAGGCAGTGTGTGTGTATTGGTCACCATTTGTACCTGCAGTGACTAGTCTCTTTAACAGAGAAAAGAAGGAAGGAAAAGAATCCAGTATTGGGACCAGAAGGTGGCGTGGTGGTTAAGGTGCTGGATACTTCACCTGGTTGACCACAGTTCAACGCCCAGACCCGGTGACTTGCTTTCTCATTTTCTCTCTCTCTCTCATCAAATTAAAATGAATGAATAAGTAAAATTAAATCATTATTTTTAAAAAAAGAATTCAGTACTCAAGCTTTACCCCTTTCTCATCACACTGTTTTTATTGATAAGATACCATAGTCCTTGTCCACATAAATAATACCTCTGAAAGGGTACCAGGAAGCTGCTAATAATAGTTACCAGGGGAATTCTGGTACTCAGAGTTGGAGGGAGGGAAACTTACTTTTCACTCTACATCCTTTTGTTCCATTTTTTTTTTTTTGAGAGGTTTTCGCTATAAGGCATGTGCGCTTGCCAGACAGACAGAGAGAGACATAGAGACAGAAAGCGAGAAATCACCCCCCAGGGGGGATGGCCACGCCGCAATCCCTTCTCCTCCATTCTCCTCTC